GTCAATGACGCTGTGTTTTGGGTTGGTCGCCTCAGGCAGTCGCCTGCCTCGCAACCAGACTGGCTGGCGGTCCGGAGAAACGTGAGAGATCGCCTCAGGCCCCAAAAGACGGCCTCGTTTTCCATTGCATTCCTTTCTTTCCTCTCTTTTTCCTCTCAGCTTGTCAGCCCTTTCCCTTTCTTGTCTCACTCTTCTCATTATTGCCACCTCTTCCCCCTCTTCAGTCAATGTATTTACTCTTCTCCTGACATCTGCTCTCCTCTCAACCTTTCCATTGGCCAGATTCTCTCTGACTTCATCCTTCTGTCAAGCACCAGTCTTACTCTTCCGACTGGGCAAGTCCGTTCCGGTTTACAGGTTTCCCTGTCGAACTCACCTGTACGCTCCGTTCTTTAACAAACGCTTGCCCATTCACTCGTATCCAAGCATCATGAGCTCCTCAGAGGACGATACCCCACTTGTGAAAGCAAACGGCCGATCTACTGGTGAGTTCTCCTACATCCTTCGGGTCTAGCGACAGCCGGTTTGCGGTTTTCGCATCACCAGAAATCCTCTCGCCCTTGAATGCGATCTGAGATTCGCTCCTATTGAACTTGGATATATGTCATGGATAGGTTTTTCTTACATATAATCTCATCTAGTTACCCCTAACGTGACCATGGGCGATGCGACAGAGACAAACGGCGATGTCAAACCTGGCATCTCAAACCGTTTCGGACCCGTACAGAAGGACGATGATGTTCAGATGGCGGATGCGGAAGCTCAGGACAACGGCGCCCTCAGCAAAAGAAAAGCGCGAACCAGTGTTGGTCAAAGAAAATCCTACGCGGAACCAGAGAGCAGTGAAGAGGATGATCAGCCCTTGGTACGCCAGAACCAGCCCGCGCCATTCCCTACGTTAAACCCCTTCCTTTGCGGCGCTGTCAGTGTTAGTTTCAGCAGCTGACTATTCGACAGAGCAAGCGCCGTCGCACTTCTGTGAAGCATGAAGATCCGGAAACGGATGAAGATGTACCTTTAGCGCTTAACGGGAGAAAGCTGCCAAAGGCTGCAGAGACTTCAATTGTCGAAGAGTCCGACTCGGATGTTCCCATCGAAAGGAAACTTGCTTCTCAGAAGAAGAGAATTCAACAGAAGGCAGAAAAAGACGCCCAAGCTAGTCGCAAACAAGCGTCCGCGAAGGCGGCAGCGACCAAAAAGCTGACCAACGGCATCAAAAAGGAGCCAGTCGATGATAAAAAGCTTGTGAAGAGAGCGTCTACAGCAAAGGTAAAGACAGAACCGAAGTCTGCGCAGTCTACCCCCGCAAAGAAAGGGAGTGCGAAAGCTACGCCAGTGAAAAAGGAAGCGAGCGAAGAGGCCGAGGAAGGCGAGGAAGAAGAGTATAGGTGGTGGGAAGATCCTACGAAGGGTGATGGAACGATAAAGTGGACTACCCTCGAACACAACGGCGTCGTCTTCCCCCCACCGTACGAACCCCTACCAAAGGATGTCAAATTAAAATATGATGGTGTTCCAGTCAATCTTCACCCTGATGCGGAAGAGGTGGCAGGCTTCTTTGGAAGCATGTTGAATGCGACTCAGCATGTTGAAAACCCTACTTTCCAGAAGAATTTCTTCATGGATTTCAAAGATATTCTTAAAAAGACAGGCGGCGCAACAGACTCCAAGGGTAACAAGGTCGATATCAAGGACTTCTCCAAGTGCGACTTCCAGCCAATCTTCGCATACTATGACATGAAGCGTCAAGAGAAGAAGAACCTACCCCCAGCTGAGAAGAAGCGCCTGAAGGCTGAAAAAGATGCCGAAGAAGCCCCGTATATGTACTGCATGTGGGACGGCCGAAAGCAGAAGGTCGGAAACTTCCGTGTTGAACCCCCTTCTCTTTTCCGTGGCCGTGGTGAGCACCCCAAGACGGGACGTGTTAAGTCTAGGGTTCAGCCTGAGCAGATCACCATCAACATCGGAAAGGACGCTCCTGTACCTCCACCGCCGGAGGGCCACCGTTGGAAAGAAGTCAAGCACGATCAAGAGGGCACGTGGCTTGCTATGTGGCAAGAGAACATCAATGGCAATTACAAATATGTGATGCTTGCCGCGAACTCCGATGTTAAGGGCCAGAGCGATTACAAGAAGTTCGAAAAGGCTCGCGAACTGAAACATCACATTGATAAAATTCGCAAGGACTACAAGAAGAATATGAAGAACGAGTTGATGGTGGAGAGACAGAAAGCCACGGCTGTCTACTTGATAGATCAGTTTGCCCTTCGTGCTGGTAATGAAAAGGGTGAAGACGAAGCGGAAACAGTTGGCTGTTGCTCCTTGAAGTACGAGAACGTCACTCTCAAGCCACCAAACAAGGTTATCTTCGACTTCTTGGGTAAGGACAGTATCCGATTCTATGACGAAGTCGAGGTCGATACCCAGGTCTTCAAAAACCTGAAGATCTTCAAGAAAAGCCCTAAGAAAGAAGGCGATGAGATCTTTGATCGGTTAACGGTAGGTTACCCTGCCTGCGTTTGTCTTTTTAAAATGCCCGCTGACATCCAAATTATGTAGACATCTGCGCTCAACAAGCACCTTTCGAACTATATGCAGGGCTTGACGGCGAAAGTTTTCCGTACCTACAACGCTTCACACACAATGAGTACCCTGCTCAGGGAGATGAAAGCGACCGGTACCATTGCAGAGAAGGTCAAGGCGTACAACGATGCCAACCGTCAAGTAGCTATTCTCTGTAACCACAAGCGAACTGTGACTGCATCTCACGCTAATCAAATGGAGAAGATGGGTGAGAGGGTAAGCATCACATACACGATCTAGATCTTAGCCTCCGAGAGTGCTGACGATTTCCACTTCCACTGCGCAGATAAAAGGTCTCCGTTACCAAAGGTGGCGCCTCAAGCAGCAGATGCTTGATCTAGAGCCTAGTCTTAAGAAAAAGAAGGGGGCTAAATTCTTCGAAATGGATGAGGATATTGACATGGAGTGGATCAAGGAGCACCAGGCTTTCTTACTCGAAGAACAACGCCAAAAGATTCAGAAGAAGTTCGACAAGGATAACGAGAAGCTTGCGGCTGAAGGGGAGAAGGAAATGAAGGCCAAAGAACTGGAAAATCGGCTGGAAGTGGTCAAAGACATGGAAAAGAAGTTCAACAAAGAGAACAAGACAGGAAAAGTGGAAGCTGAAGGCAAAGGCCCCACAGTCGACAAGCTTGAGAACGCCATCCAGAAACTTGAACAGCGTATTGAGACCATGGAATTGCAGGCTCAGGACAAGGAAGACAACAAAGAAGTGGCCCTCGGAACGTCCAAAATTGTAAGTTTCCCCTGCCCCGGGCTCGCCTCGATAGGCTGTCTAACACCGTGCAGAACTATATCGACCCTCGTCTCACGGTCGTTTTCAGCAAGAAGTTCAACGTCCCAATCGAGAAATTCTTCTCCAAGTCGTTGCGTGAGAAGTTCGAGTGGGCTATCAAGTCCGTTGAGGAGGATTGGGAGTTCTAGATTTTGCATTCCCAAGCAGAACTCACGAAAGTGCGAATTTGAAGTTTCTACACGGCTTTGCATCTCGTTATCTCCGTACCCTTTATATTTTTAGTTGGTTCTATTCCCTTCTCGGCCACCCTTGTGGCTGATAGAAGGGCTGTGATATATGTCGCATATTATGGTTTCGATATTGCCTTTTATCTTTCTGAGGTTAATTTCCAAAGCAAATGCGCTTTTTTGGGATACGCTTGCAAAGGCCACATACATCTGTGCTATACTTGCTTCTATCATTGCTTCGCTCTGTTGTATGTACAGCATCTCTTCAGACTCGTCAACAAGAGAAGAACTAAGAGAGAGAGAGAGAAGAACGGGAATAGAAAAGAGGAAGCATTACCATATACCAAGCAATACACAGGTCTGCAGACCTGAAGACTCATCAAGATGGATAGAGCTTAGCAGCGACTTATGCAAAATACAATATTGTACATTGTCATCCCGTGCACTCCACTAAGCCACTACTAAAAACCAGAACACTGCAGAGCTCCTGGGATTAAGCAGCCTAAGCAGAAAGTGGACTAAATATGGGCTTAGTAGATTTCTTAACCCTGAATTCCGATGAGTACCCAAAGGCATGGTGACCACCAATATGCCTTTTGCTCCGGGAAAAAAGTCTCCAAGCCTGTTAAGTAGTTATCTTATCACAGTTTTCAACACTTTTATCTCCATTCACTTCCTGTGTGAACCAATCAATCTACTAACTAGTACATCCGTGTTTGAGTAGTTCATGGATTCCCTAAGGATGTTGACCTAATATTAGACCTCTTCTGTTGTTGGTTGATCTCCCATAGCAACACAACAGTCGACCATTCACTGCTTCGCTCTGCTACTTTACATCCACTGTTACGTTGCTTGAGCTACTACGGCTCTTCTTCCCTACACATGGTATGCGCATCTGCGTCAGTGTCCCATTACCTGGTGTCTCCCTCACTTTCGAGGCCAGGAATCCTAGGAAGCAGGCCGCCATTCTCACTTAACACTTGTACCAGAGTTCCAAATGCTGACGACCATGGAGTCACATCCCATGAAGTGCGATCTGGATGAGGGTCGCCTGAACGCCAAGTGTCGCGACCGAAAGTTTACCACGTTCCTGGACTTGAAGTTTGATTATCACACCGAGTTCGTAACCCGTCTACGCGAACATGCCCAGGTGACCAAGTACAGCTGGGGTGAACTTCAAACCTTCGAATCCAAGAGACGCTCCTGTGCTGAGAGATTCGTGGAAAAGTACGGCATGACATACTGGGGCGCGGAAACCCGCAAGATGTACCTGCTGCCAGATGCTTTCGACGAACCTGAATCTCTCTGTACCTACCCCGAGCGGAAAGATGAGTAAGTCGGGCTGCTGGAAACCCTCTTGTCAAGGTTCGTTATTTAGTTATGCTTACTGTTTATTAATCCACAGAATCATTCGCACGGTTGCTCTCTTGCTTGAAAGAAAGGCAAATAGTGCTATGAGGAACAAAGACAAACAGAACGCGATCGAGGTCAGTAATGAGCTATCTCCTACTGTCCACATAGTAGCTCACAAGACATTGCGGGATTATGAAATAGCTCGCCACACCCACTCGACGTACTTCTGCTTCTGTGCCACCGCTCTGGGGAAATTCACCCTACGCTACATCAACTTCAAGCCCGGAGCTTTTCAGATCTGCCGCGAACCAGACAAATGATGGGGACGACAAACTCAAGAGAAGGACATCCGACAGACATAAGGCGTCGACCAATTGGGGCATGGACGCCTCAGAATCCACTAGCCCAAAGCCTGGGATCTCAGCGCCGAGTGGTATACGCCCATTTAGCTCCATTTGGGGTGATTGCAAGGAGAACAATGGCAACAGTCTTCCCGAGCCAACAAGCCTGAAAACGGATTGGACCAGTGCTAACCATAAGACAAGCGCAACTGATGACATGGTGAGTAATCTAGAGGGAAACTACCCGAATGATACCAAGTTCTTGGTGGAGGCTTCGAACCAGGAAGGAATGGCTCCTGTCTGGGTGTCGTTTCAGAATTTCCCGTCCGCATCTTCGTTCTTGGAGCATATGGCTGCTCAATGTAGAGTCGATGAGTGGAGTCCGTCTCAACAGATTCTGGCGGAAAACTCGAACTGGCAGACTGGGCAACCGGTCCTTGCAGCTTCCGTCAGGTTTGAATGGTCAGGATTTGAAATTCGTGTCCGGCAGGGGGTCGATCACGACCTGACTATTGTTTTCCAAGAACTACAGAAGGCTTGGAAGGCTAAGGAACTCAATCTGGATGGTGGCTCAGTTCAGCAGTTCAGGGTTAAAGTGATGCTCCACGTTCGTTGATCTGTTATTGGCTTTTTGTTCGTTGGTTGAGGATTGATACGCGGGAAGTTGCAGTAAATTTGGCCATTCTTGGAGGAGGACACGAGATTGAAGAAATGGAAACAACAAAAGAGAGGGTATTGGGCACACGACAATGTTTCCGCATACATAGGCAGTTCAATGGAAGAAGACACTAGCGCAAGAACTACAGAAGGCTTGGTAGCTGCTCAGTATACGGTCGCTGCACGAACCATGGGCAGATCATCCTTTGGCCCATGGAACGAGATGCAAATCCCGACTGGGGTAATTATTGGGCCGGAGAATAATTAAGTCGTAATAAACTGACGTCAAGGTTTGCCCTTTGGTTCATTCCCACACAGATTACAGCGTAAGGCCGGAGTGAGTACTGAGTACTGAGTACTAAAGAAACTAAGAACTCACTCACGGGGATTCAATTGTCTTTACTATCAGTATTGGTCATTTCTATGGATCGAGCCGATTTCGAGGGAAGCGCCTTTCCCCCCCCACTCCTTTAACAGAGAGCTATTAAGAACCACCATTTGGAATTCTGAATCAATGTACCCGATTCCCCTTCAACCTTCGATTGAAGAGACCAATAGTTGTCGTAGTCGGTTTTCCTTCCATCCCGAGAGATTGGGTGAGACATTTCCCCCGAATTCTTCCCTTCTTTTTTTTTTTTTTTTTTTTTCTTTTTTCTTTCGTCCCTCGGGGGCATAATAGTAGAACATAATATATACCTATGGAGTGCATTATCTCCCATACCCCATAAACACCTCCACTGATCCCGGTCACTCTGGATAATATAGGAAATAAGCCGTCGATCCAATTTCACTCCCTGCGATGATCATACTCAATGGGGAGCCTTTTCTCTCGCTGTCGTTGAGCGAAGTTTTTTATTTTTTTTTTTTTATTTTTTTTAGAGTGTTCTGATATCAAGGAAGGGTTGATCATCATTGGTATTTGTGACGGTTGAACCCAAAAACTCTTATTTTTTTGGCTTTTGACTTTCTTCTATCCGTCCACTTAACTTTCCTCTTTTCCCTTTTTTTTTTCCTTTCCCCTTCCTCCCTTTGTCCGCTCCCCTCTCGTTTCTCACCTCCTCTCTTTACCCACTTAGACGCGGGACTATGATCGGACGGCGTCCCTGAAGAACGGAAGATGTCCCACAACGCGCGACTTGGCAGGGGAAGGAATGATGAATCACCTTTGTTTTGCCCCCCATCTTGGAGCGCTCTAAATTTGCAATCCCGAGAAAAGTCCCAACCCACCCGGCTGGCGAAATTTCTAGACGCAGACTAACGGAATTTGCTCGGTGTGGAGGATTGGAAACCTGGGATAGACCCTCCTCGTTTGCCTTGGTCTACGGAGTAGTATCCTCAGCCGCAACGCGAGTGATCATAAGTATAGATTATAGTGGGTGATTCGGCTATTCTCGCATATCAAACGTGGGGGGGGACTCATGTTAGGATGAGCTGCAAACCATCGTAAGTGTTTTACGTTTCATCCAGGACTGGATGGGGACGATTACATGATATCAGCAATTGAGTTTTTGCCGGTAGAGGGAAATGGTCGTGTAGACAACACTCGGGAATGGGGTTCAATTAAAGCAAAGCACGAGCGATATACTAGAGAGAATAAAAATACGCTTATGGAAACTGGCAAAAAAAAAAAAAAAATCCAACGGTGTCCATTGGGTGGGAGGGGAAAAAAATAACGGGGAAGAAGAGGATTCGTGAGTAGTAAGTAGTTTACTAGTCATGAGTAGTAGTAGTTTTAACAGTCACAGGACGAGCAGGTGATACGCCCCAATTCATCAAAGCGTCGTTAGTTCCAAATTGGTCGTTGCCCCAAAACCACTTTTGTCTCCTGCTCATCTCCTGCTGCTTCCCTTCAACTTCTCTCTTTTCTTTTCTTTATTTCTTTTATTGTCTGTGCTTCTCTCCGTCTGGCTCTTTCTTTCCCGCCCTTCTTTAATTTTAAATAGTGAAGGTAGAACTCTCTTCTTTGTTCTCCATATATTTTACGTTTATAACCCACTATATTATTCCTCGGCGCCTCTTATCTCTCCGTCTCAGGCTTCCCCTCATCGCACTTTCTCTCCCGTCACACTTCTGCCATTTATTCCCCTCCCCCTTTTCGCTGGCTCCCCGCATTCTTTGTTGGCTTAAAGCTTGCGTGTGGGGTTTGAGAACCGGCAATAACTGCTCAGAACAAAAAAAGCAGCAAACTGAATCACATTACCACGTTCGCGCGCCCTGATACAGTCCCCTCTCACATACCGCCATGGCGAGTGATCAGAGCAAAAAGCCAGCCGTGCTGATTGTTGGAGGACTCGGTATGTACAAGCGACAGATAATTCTGCGGCTCGTGGTGATGCAAGGGGGGTACATGAGCTAACCCAAACGTCTTGCGTTTCGCAGGATTCATCGGTCGTCATTTGGCACTTTACATACATGAAAATAACCTGGCCTCGGAAGTGAGACTTGTCGACAAAGTCCTTCCTCAGCTGGCTTGGTTAGCCCCTGAATTCCAGGAGGCTTGCTCCAAAGATAAGTTCGTTCAAGCGGACGCTAGCCGGGAACGTGAGTGAGCTCAACTTCTCGACTTCTGCACAGGCGATGATGTTCTATACTAACTCTCCCCGCGTTACCATCTAGAGCACTTCCCGCGTGTTTTCGATCGGGCCAACGGCGAACAATTTGACTACGTAATCAACTGTGGAGGCGAGACAAGGCACTCACAACCGGACGATGTATATGAGCTTCGCAATTACAACCTCACTGTGGCCTTAGCTCGTGAGGTGGCCCGCCGAGGAATCCGTTCTTATGTCGAATGCTCCACCGCTCACGTTTACAAGTCTGGATCATCACCACGGAAGGAGGATGACAAGCTCCAGCCATGGCATAAGCTGGCAAAGTGGAAGATGAAGGCTAGTGACGAAATTAGCAAAATCCCTGGCCTCAACTACTGCTTGCTGCGCCTACCACATGTTTACGGAGAATATTGCTCGGGCTTTTTCGCTATGGGAGTGTGCCTCGCGCGAGTACATCTTGAAATGGAAAAGGATCTAGAGCTTCTTTACACCGGAGACATCAAGATGAACACCCTTTACGTGAAAGATGCAGCCAGTGCCCTATGGAAGTCTGCCGAGTGGAGGGCAACCGCTCCGACGGATGGCTCGGCTCCCATTGCCTTCAACGTGGTCGACCACGGTAACACTCGTCAGCAGGATATTGCCGATGCGCTCTCTACCATATTTGGTCTCAAGTGCTCATTCCTAGGATCTCTGGTCTCGCAGCTTGCCAAGCTCAACCTCGACGATGTGATAGACGACATGAACGAGGAATGTCTGCAGGTCTGGGCTGAGTTGATGGAACAGAAAAAGATTGAGCGGCCAGGTCCGATCAGCCCGTTCCTCGAGAGGGATGTATTCAAGGACCAAGATATGTGGCTTGATGGCACGCTTTTTGAGAAGACAACCGGCTGGAAACCCACCCGGGAACGCTTCGACGCAGACGGCGTACGGGATATGGTGGAGAGCTACAAACGGATGGGCTGGTGGCCATAGGGCCTATCGTACACCGTGAAACCCTGACCATCCATTTTTTTTCAACACCTCCTCGCTTTGATCAAACTTGGCCCAAAGTCACAAAAGTATGATGGCATTCAATAATGACGACCCATTCACGACCGCTGCCGTACCTTCGCCTGCATTGACGACGGATATCTGCATTGGCAAAACCCACTCTATCTGAAATTTCGAGCGCATAGACCACCTCTCGCCCTTGTTAATCACCCACCTTGAGCCGCCAAATGTTGTCCTGTACTATGTATGGTCACCGCTCTACCTGTAATCTATAATATCCTTTCTCTGGTTCAATCAGGATCTGTTCTTGAGCGCCGGTATGTTCAGCTGGTTTTCTGATTCGCTTGTGTTAATGTGAACTATCCCATTTTTCTGATCATGGACATCCAGCACCTTTAGACTCCCACACCGCTTGCATGTGAATGACTTGAGCTTTGCCTTTCGCAGCTCATATTTTATTATTCTGGATTGGAGATACATGTTGCCAACAAGATATTGAATCACTCTTCTAGACTACTTTTTTTCCCCATATTTTACTACCTTCTTCGCAATCTATACTCTACCGTACCGATAATATGGGTTGGATTAGTCTTAAAAATAGAGCTCTCCACAGCCCCCTCTGTTGAGCATTCAACTAGTGTTATGGCTAGGGGATGCGGTCGTTTCAAGTTTATTTTCCTCGACCTATACAAAAATAGCGATTCCTCTGTGAAATGCTGTATGACCCAAGGCAATGTGGCCCCGTTCATCTAGTAATTCCCCGAAGGGTGAGAAAATTAGTGGGTATCGTTCTATCTAAACATAGACACTCTAGATTAAACTCGAACGTCGGCCGAGACTTTCCTTCCCGATCACCGAGTCTTCTACAACCCCAGCTGACACTCGTATTCTCAGAAATGGTATATTAAATATATTAATTATATGTATAAAGTGAACTACTAATAGTCTAGAGTATTGTAGCTGTATTTCAAATCCATTAGGATTATATCAGTAATAAATTTACGGTTTATGGTTACTGTACAGTATGTATTAGTAATCAGCTAGGTGATGATCAGTATAGATAGATAGATAGACAGATAGATTAATGCTATACAAGTTCGAGTCTCGACCAGTCTATCAGATAATACGGATTTGTCTGTATCGGTCTTCAGTAGAAACACTAGGCGCATCCAGTCACTGCTTTAGTATGCCAATTTACCACATATATTCTGGTACATATCCTATTATCATCGAGAAGTATTTTCTGCTCCGAACCCCATTCTGACATTCATGGGAATATCCTGCCTCGAGGTACTCAATGTCGGCACTTTTATTGAGTGTGTGTGTGTCTTACGAAGCCCGTCCGTAGCCATAGGATATGAGCGAGAATGGATATCAGTGATCTTGGCATCAATCAATATTGCTCTGCCTGGGT